ATTTAAACAACAAAATATCTTAAACAACAAATAGCTTCTGAACCTCCTGTGGTGAATTGTTCTCTGAGAACAGAAAAGGCCACCTCTGCCTGTTAAGTAACACAGGGAAAGCCTTTCGATTTATTCTTTTGTCTGTGCCTATCTACCTTTTGTTATGGGCAAAGAGAAAGTACCTTGTGGCGCTCCCCCACAGAGCGCAGCACACTCACAATCCCCTGAACTATACAACCCCATACACATGCTAACATTGAGCAGCACAAATGCTAATCAGGACACAGACTAGCTTTACAGTGGTGGAGCCAAGAGGCCCGACAATCAATCAAACCAAGCGCCCAAATTAAATATTCAAAACAACCAGATGCCTCTATAGACAGGGGGAGATTTACAACCACAGATTTAATGAATGGACACTTTTATCGTTGCAGCAAACTAAATAAAATCATTGTAGTATACAACATATGGTGTTTTATAGGCAGTTTTATCCAAACCATTTTACCGTCACCTCCTCAGTCCTGGTCTACCCACTAAGATCGGAGGATTTCAAATCAGATTTAACCGTCCTAAAATGACACGTTTGAGCCCCGGAAAAAAAAAACTTTCCATGAAAAACATTACACCGAAACATAAGAGTGAGAATATTTGTGGTGAAGTGAATGGTGTTTTATTCTTTTGAGACAGATTTACCAAACTAATGACAGCTCAAATCAACTTCACAGCAAATCAAATTACAGTTAGATTATTGTATCCTCTCTCAGATGGTTTCCTAAATGAGGCTGTTATATACACAATGAGATTAGCACGAAGAACAGTGCTATTCTTTTGCCGGCTGGAGAGAACACAGTAAATACAGCCTTTCGCTCACACAGGGATATGTTCATGAATCCCACTTAAATGAACAAATGCAAATTGCATATTAGCATGCGATAGCGCTTAACAAAATTGTAGTTAAACCCTCCCTTCGCATGAGTTGCTCACATTTACTTTACCACACAGGAGACATGCTGTATTTGGAAACTTTAATCAAGCTGCACTGAATTTGACAAAAGTTCATGCACATGCTTCCACGCATATTTGTGAGTAACTTTACTCTCAGCCATACTGTACTTGAGCACACAAAGGGCAGTGGTATGTGTTCAAATATATGCTGGAGCCAGAACCCCATCCAAGGACATGTGACATGTGAAGCTGTGCTCCAGACTGCCAGTGATGCCGTGTCAGATTAAGCAGACACAGGCTGCTGCTTCCCACAGGGCTGAATACAACAATGCAGGAGGGGAGCTTTTGCTGTAGCTGGCACGCAGGCAACGTTCAGGAGGAAGAAAATCCCAGCACTGCAAGTATACAGGCCAAATGTAACCTTAACCTAACATTACACCTTTCCTTTCTGAACCTTACAGTCTGGCATTAACACCCACTTATACTGAGGTCAGTTTATACCAGAGTGTGTAAGGGCCAACTCACATGTGTTACATCTGTGTTAGAGTCAAGTTTATTTGTTTAACCTAGTTATACAGTTACACTTTCAAAGACCTTTACAGGCCTGCACTGCAATTGACACCTGGTTGGTGTGCAAAACTGAAAAGTGACACTATCAGTGAAAAGTGGGGAAAACATCATAGAGCAGCATGAGCCAATCTTCGTGTATCAGAGTCCTTTTATACTTCGCTTTGATGCTGGCCAAGCTTTGTATCCGCTCCGAAAGGAACGGTTGATAGCAAATGCGTGTTTAAATGGGATCTCTTAAACTAGCATGAAGTGTGTGTTATGTACTCAGTGAGATCAAGCATGACACAGCTCTTAACTCTCGTTAAAGTTCTGACTAATCAGATAAGATGCAACACAGGAGTGTACAGGGACAGGCCCTCCGACCTTTGAGCTACTGCCTTGTGTAACCTTTGCTGCTGGAAAAAAGTGACACACTCGTCCAGGCTGTACATTCAGTAACTACAGTACATAAATGTCCAGTTAAGACTTTAGTGCATAGGGATGTGTATCAAACTTGACAGAAAGCTGGCAGTGAAGGTCTTTTTTTAGTTACTCTCTGATCAGATACTTCTTGTTTTAAATCAAAATGTTGACAGATTTTGACAGGATTCTAGATTAAAGTATTTTACAGCTTGTCAGACACTGCATAATGTTTTGTAATACCCTCATACAGGATTTTACAACTCTGAAATGTTACCATAGCGGCAACCATTTTATGTTTTTTAGCAATGATCACAAGGCAAACAGTAGAAATAAGGCGTTCAAGCATTGGCAGGATATAATTAGTGGACAGAGCCTCCAAATATGTGACCTGAAGCTAAGTGTTTGTATTCTTTCTAATGGCCAACAGGGGCGACAAAAATAAATCCCCTAGCATTTGAGTCTTATAAGAGACATGACCCTACTTCTCATTTGATATATTGCTTCAGCAAATACTTTCCTAATGAGTTTATGGTCTCAATTGCTGGCTCAACTGGCAGCACCACTGCAAAAATGCACTTTTATTTTGACGGAGGACCCAGCACAGCAGGAGTGCCAATGCAAGGAGGCCCTGCCAAAACAACACTGGGTCGTCGGTAAAAAAAAAAAAAAAAAAAAAGAAAGTTGAACATGGCGTAACTTTTGCTGAAGCGCAATGAGACCTCACCCGACCAATCAAATAAATGCTATAATGTTTACCTTGCAATCTTTCCAATGAAAGATAAAACAATTAAGAGTGTTATGTTTACAGAGCTGGAAAATCGTGTCTCAATGAGCCTCTTTTTTTCAAATGCATTCATCTGTTTCTGCAACTGGATTTCTTGCATCACTATCCCATTGGTACCTGAAGCAACACGCCACCAACCCAGCCCCTTACATTTTTTAAATACAGGGATATTTCCAGTTTCAATGCCCGCCAAGTCTGTTGAACCTCTAACCACATTGAGCATCACAGCTGGGTGCGGTCAGGTAGAGTCTGTTGTACCGGGATCATACCTAGCTGTGATGTAGCTCGGTACCATAGTGCCATACTGCATCACTGCCGCACAGGGGTGAAAAAGAACCATGCTGTTACAGTTAGTCAGCAGGGAAGGTCAGATTATCAGACCGAGGGCAGTTATATGAATATAAAAGCATGTTTTAGCTATCAGTATTGCAACTTAGGTCTTGTATCAGCACTAGCATCCAAGCTTGTGAAATGACACTAAGCCCTTTTAGTGAAAGGCATGAAAACACTAAAAACTGCACGTTTGGCATTTTTGCTTGAGAAATGACTTAAATGGTTTATCGATCACCACAGTGTTATTGATTTGTTTTCCATTGATCGTTTCAGCACTACAGGAAAGAACATTAGGTTCCTGTTGAGCATCTGCATTAGAGGGCTTTTTAACATGGCTTAGGCAAACAGCAGCATGTGAAGCGTACATGTCGAACTTGCTAAAGCTACGAGAGATGAATCCTAGAAGCCTGAAAGCCCAGTTGACAGATTTGTTCCGTAAACACTGGCCACAATCACAGAGAGCGGAGAAGGTACCCGGGGCTGCAAACCATTACTGAACCGTAACACAGTAATTTCCCTGGCACACTCTCTGAGGCAGAGCTCGGTCTTATCTTCAGGGCAGCCTGCCATCTCTGCCAATCATAGTGAGTATAAGGGGGTGGGATGCGGGGGGGACTTCCTTCCGAATCCATTCATGCCATTGAGGCCACCTGCTGTGACTGTCAATGGCTAGAGTGAGGCTGAGAGAAAAGAAAGAGCCATCTTCAAGCTATAAAACAGAAAAGGCTCTTCTTGTTCTCTGTGCCCGAATTGCTGACTGTGGATATTTGAAATCCGAGGATTTTCTTGAAGTCGCCACAAATCCAAATATTTATTCAGTTTGGTAACATGCGAGTGTGCTGCGTTCTGATTTTGCCCCTCGCCGCCGTGGCATTAATCTTCTGAAGCTTCTAATCAGCAAGCTGTAATGATACTGCGGAGTCTCATTCATGCCATGAGGACACTCGAGGAGTATGCGAGGATCCCTCATGTCTCCAGTTAAACCCGAGTCCCTGAACCCCGGCCAACACCACCTGTTAGGGCTCCTCACTCCTCTGCCAACAGCCCTCTCCATTCCAGCTGTGTATGTGTGTGTCTGTGTCTGTGTGTGTGAGGGAGGGAGGGAGGGAGGGATGGATGGAGACACGACTGTTCGGCCAACTGGGTCTGTACTAACAGAGGGATTACCGTGGAGGAGGATTACTGTGGCACCGGAGTATATAAGCACACCAACAGACACACAACCAAGGGACAGTGGATATGAGGACACACTTCCATCAAACACAACACTACAGCAGCATTCCTGCACTTTATATCTTCTTACACACACACACAAAGTTTGGGGAGTGTGTAAATCTGGGGAAGTACAGTTGTAACCGCCACAATAAAAGCATGAAAGAACCTACTTTGAAACTACTGCAAAGGAGTACATTTACGCAAGTTTTGTCCCTTTTTGGGGGAAAGCTCTGTTGTGACACAGTGTGTCCTGTAATAAAGGCCTATAACAGCTGAGGCCTACAGCAGCTGATTGTGTGTTTGTGTGTGTGTGTGTGTGTGTGTGTGTGTGGGGAGAGAGACAGAGACTGGGTGAGGCAGAGTTGGTGGTTAAACTTTACGTGAAAGGAACTCAAACACAAAATTTGAAAACTGAGGCTACACCAGTTACATAAAGTGTGTGTATATTTCAGGGCTATAAAAGGGTTATAAAGAAAGCAGCACCCCACACGCCTTGTTCCAGGACGGTTTTAGGAGTCTTTTCCCCCTCATTGTTTTCCTCTCCAATCGACTCATACAGGCAAATAATCCCGATTCCTCGAGTCCTCGTTCAGGAGGGAACAACGACGCAGACTTTTTGTAACAATGTAACACACCGAAACAAACTCTGCCGAACCGTTTCCTCAACTTTTCTCCAAGTGTCACAGCACCACAAGGCCCTGCTCACTCACTTCCAAGACAAAATGTGACTTTTTTTTTTTTGTTGGCGAGGACTCCTTACCTTGAAAAGAGACCTTTGCAGTGTTGTACTTCGGCTACATGCGTCCTGTGGTCTTTTCTTTTCCTCCTCCACGTTTTTGGTTTTTTGTTTTATCTATTCTTCTAATTTCACGTCGACAATCCAAAAAGAAAGTGGAAACAGGGCCGATACAAAACAAGTCTCTTAACGTGGAATCTCAGTCTTCCGTCTGTCCCATACCGATTAACTACTTCACCAGCCCCAAAGTCCTCCGCTGGGATCCTTTATATTCCGTTCAAACGAGGACGCACCGCCAGCTGACAAAGGCTGCTTAATATGGCGGGGTAAGAGCTCAGCAAAACGGTTAAAATATCCAGAAATCACCGCCTGCTGATAGGTCAGGGTTGCCCCGAAAGACACACAACAATAGCCAGACTAGCACCGAGGAGCCGACGAGGCCAAAGAAGCAATAATGCTGTGTTCAAGTACTCAGATTAGAGTCGTACATCCGGGTCTCCCTGCTTTAATTGATCCTAAAACATTAATTAACTGATGAATTGGCTTCAATTTTTTTTTTAACTAATGTCTACTTGAGAACCCCGTCAGCAGTTGCATCTTTATTTCCTTTTTTTATTTTAATAATATCTTATAATTCATTAAAAAAAAAAAGCAAAGATAACAAGAAAATCTGAAAACGTTAACATAATTTTGTGTAGCAGATAAATCTTGGCTCTCTGTTGGCTCTCTGTTGGCTCTCTGTTGGCTTTATTATAACCTCATGACCCTTTGGAACCACGGAATAACATGTACGCCTAAATAAATGCTGCTGTTATGTAGCCTATAAATTGGGGCTGCAACTAACTGTTATAAAAGTAGTTGTTGTTTTTTCAACTGATCAATTATTCACCAGGTCATTTCACCTCTGGTATAAATTACTATATGTGGGCAGCATTTGCCTATTTCACACTCTAATACATAGTGAGGAAAACATCCTACACTTTTTAATTAATTTTAAAAATATAAAAAATAATATAAAATAAGTCAGAAACACTTCACAAATAAAATCTTAAGAACTTTGATGTCTATCGAAATTCAGGCTTTTTTTTTTTCTTGCTCTGTTTTGTTTATCTACATTCACGCCGGCATGTTATATTATTTCCTATACCACTTGAACGTTGCATCATCTCCCATTGAGTGGTTTTCCCTTGTGCCCAATATGGCCGACATCACAAGCACAGATTGAGGAGAAAATACACCATCTGGCTCAGTACCAACTAAATAAAGCTGTTCTCATTTCTATCACTCAGTCTAATCATTTAAAATATCTTTAAACTGGATCATTTGGGCATAAAATACAGATGTTGTATCGTGTCGTTTAACCTTTGAACCTTATTCACCATCGGCAGACATCTGGCGCCCTCTAGTTTGTATGAAAGCATAACTGGGTTTATGTTTTTATTTATATTGCTATTAATAATAAATATAAGCATGGAGTTAACACATGGTGTATGATAGCCTATTTAACGTCCTGTGGTAGGTTTATCAGTCTCATAACATTTCCAAAGGGAAATAAAGTGGGTCTATATTTTTTGCCAAGATAATATTAATAAAGAAAAAACTTGGATAGGCCTAAAGATGTTTTGTTGAGATGGCATTTTAAACATCTTGTATCAGCAAAAACAATGACTACTACACTGCAGGTTCAATATGAGTGCTGAGATTTCTTTGAAGTGATTCTGAAGTGATTTGCTGACCCCTACTGACTTTGACTGCACTGTGCGCAGGCGGCTCCTGGAAAGCGGCCCCTGAGGGAAACGAGATCTACTTAACACACACACACACACACACAGACAGGAGAAAAAATCTATAGTGATTCTTTTTCATTAAATCTGTGTAAAAATGTTGCAATGGCATCACAATTATTTCCATTTGCCATAAAATTCCTCTGTTCTGTGTTTCCATGACTTTTTAAAACACAGGCCTAAAACATTACATAACTGAATACTCTGAACTCAAGTTTCACCTCCTACTTTTCCCCCAGAGTTTCCACTGTATTTCATGGTCTTCTTCAGTGAAGGTAACTTGAATTCTTGTATCACAGATATGTATTTCTATAAGATCGACAATTAACATTTAAAACGTTATGTGTGTCTGTAGTTCGTAGGCCAATAAAATGTGGAGTTGTAACCTTTTTCAGTGGTTCCCAAACTAGGGGTTGAGACCTCTTCAAGAGGTCACAAGATAAGTCTGATGGGGTCACAAGATTATGGAAGATTCAGCATGCCACAACTAAAAACAAATCAAACTAAAAATTAAAAACAAATCAAACTAAGAACTGATTGTGATATACACAACACATTCTGACTCCCTTATCGTCAAATACTGCCACTTGGTCAGTAGCCCTTTGCTTCAAAATCGGTACCTTTCACATCATTTCTGGATGTGCAGAAAGTTAGGAAGTAAGGAAGAATAAATATGCAATGTCCAGTTAGATTTTCAAAATAAAGCTTGCAGTTTGATTAGGTTCAGGCACAAAAACTATTTATTTACGATTAGGAAAATAAATTACATTATGTACCTGAGGTAACTTAATTATCTGACGTAAGTCCTGTGTTTGTTTGAGTCATCCATCCACCCCACCTCCTCCATATCTGGACTCTCTTTCTCAGTCTTTATACTACGTCATGATGACGGGCATGTCCAGAAATTACACTAGAGGAATACTAACAGTGTCATATTTTCAAGCGCATGGCCACTGATCAAACAGCAGTATTTGACGACTTGGGAGCGAGACCGGGTTGAAACACACTCGCTATGTATCCATTTACTGTGTGTTATAATTTAATAAAAATATTTTGTCTAAAACATAAGTACAAATGAAATTCATATTACAGTGTGTCACATTAGGCATTTTCAATCTTCCATACAGATGATAAAAAAAGTAGTTCTGCTACACAATTGAAATCTTTTGCTTAAAAAATATAATGCAAAGAATTAAATCAGACCCAATAAACAGAAACTCATGTTAGACTTTATAGATAATATAATTACATAAATTCTACACATTTCTCTTGCTAAACAGATCAAAAGGAGATTACCTGATTAAATGTAGGGTATATTTAGAAAAGAAAAGCTGTAAAAATAATCTAATAAACATATCTTCTTATTTGAATGACTAATATAGGGACAATTCTTTACTCATTTTGTCCTTCACCTCTCTGTGCGTGCACTGCTGATGATGAATGAACCACGTTTCCCCTTTTTTCCTCATGATGGCGCCGTTTGTTCAGGCTACCGAGCTGCGTCTATAGCTGCTGTAACAGGCCTAATATTAGAAAGTCTGCTCCAGCTGACACATATGGGCTTTAAGTTTTGCTCTTCAAGGCAATCAGGCACCGTGAAGAAGAAGTTGAGGATAGCCCCCACCTCCCCCCCGCGGCCAATAACTGGCTCTGCTCGTCACATTGCGTCAGAGTAAACAAAACGCTGACGTTAATCTCTCTCCTCTTTGGCAAAAGCCTTCAATTGGTTGCTGAGCTATAGGTCTGATTCAGTGCTGTACAGAGCTAAATCCAAAAAGATGTGGTAGTGGGGACCTGGAGTTTATAACGAGCCCCCATACAGGACTGGAATTAGATTTTTTAAACAGGCCTCCAAATTAAAACTTCCATTCAACACTCTGCTGCTGTCGTGGATATGAATGTCAAGTTTATACTTCTCTGCAATTTAATTTGACTGGATTATTAGCAAATAATAAGGAGCACATTACAGGGAAGTCTCATGCATAAAGACTTTTTTTGTGCCATAAAAATGCACCAAATGAGGCTCCATCAGCCCGGTATGGGTGGAAGGAATTGGGCCCGGCTGCTCCTTGGTTAATTGCCACATACAGAGCAGTACAGCTGCGAGCCTTTTCTCGGGGTTTCTTTTATTTTTTCGTTTTAACGCATCAATCAGCGCATTATAACGACACAGACAATTTCAGAACAATGTCGACAAAATGGGTGAATCGTTTATAAAGCCACGTAGGCTGACAGCTCCCTGAACCGGCATCCTGCGTCACCAAGCCGGCGTTCAAATCACATTACGTGCGTCGTTTATTTCACCAATGTAACAGTTAGGCCGAGGCCTTTAGCGCTGTCATTGCACGGCCATTAACCCCCCCCCGGCCATTACCACCTCACCCCTGATATCCAGTGAGCAATTATTGGATTGATTAGAAAAAGTTACTGTAAATACAAAAAAGCCGCAATCTGAGAGGATTGGTTTCAGCACCGGACAGCTCCGGACTCCCCAGAGGCCTTGAACTTGGTCACCGGAAGCCTGATATCCCCCCCCCCATCAAAAACATCCAGTCACAATTAACCACCACCAGCAAAGACGATCATTTCCCAGCTCAGTCATAATCATAAAAGCCTAATTGGACTTAATGATGACGCTGGGGGGGACAAATTGATCTGTAGGCCGTCACATCGTCCTGTGCGAAAGTTCATCGACAACCATTTCAGTTTTTTCATTAAAAAAAAGAAGAAGAAAAAAGAAAGTTTGGAAGTAAACTTCCATCTTAGGGGGAGGTGGAGGTGGGGTGAGGGTGAGGTGGGGAGGGGGGAGGGGGGAGGGGGGAGAGTCTGACGGATGCATCGATGAGGAAGGAACTGTACTTTTATATTCCGGGAGGCAGACTTGATGACGTCTATAGCATCCTTAATGTGACTTATTGGAGGGAGGAGGGAGAGAGGGAGTGAGGGAGGGGAGGGGGGGGGGGGGGGGGGGACAAGGCTTACGATACAAGGATAAAAATCCAAGGCAACCACAGCACAGGACAAAAGTTTAGAGCAACGATATGTAGACGAACATACGGCGCACTTTCCCACCGAGTTTTCTGTCTGCCTGTGCGACTGCCTGGGTCCTGTTCGTTGTGTATAAAAGTGAGATAGGCTGCTCTGAGGGGAACGTAAGGAGACGACGGAGGCGCTTCAGCCAGGAAAAGAAGTGCCGTGAGAAAGAAACCGTCTCTCTCTCTCTCTCCCTCTTTCTCTCTCTCACACACACACTAACCACAGCCGCGCCCGGATCACATCCTACAGCACAGCGCTCTCTGCTTCCCTGCTATAGGTATGTGCTTTATCTGCGGATTGTCTTAAAAAAAAAAACGAAAAGAAAAGAAAAAACTCGGAGAAATTCATTGATGGAGAGCGAGATAAAGTAATGGAAATTATTCTCTCTCTCTTTTTTTCCCCTGCATGGAGATCTGCTGTTTTTTTTTTTTTTTTAAATAGTTAAACTTTTACGAAATGGGATGAATGAAACAGACTAAAAATGTTTTTGGTTTGAGCAAACCGGACGTGTGTTTTTATTCCAGTTCATTTAAACAGGTTTTTCTATTCGATCCAGCTTTGTAGTTTGTAATAGGAGAAGTAGCACTGTGTGTGAATCTGACGGAACAAAAGAGCGAGCATGTTGTTTCTATT